CTCGAAGTATTGCATCGCACGTTACACAACATTTATCTCTTATGAAAATCATTCGTCGGGGACATGTCCCGTGTCTGGTACTGTCTGAAAAATAAACCCACCAAAATGGCCAAACTTAGAACAAGCATTATGGTTATGGACGACGACAATAATCCACTGGCAGGGGAAGAATGCGAAAATGCATTAAAAAGTCTTCATTATTTCTTGAAAAACAGGATTAGCGAACAAAAGTGTTATTTTATACAAGTTCAACCGAACCGAAACATCGCGACCATGAAGCCTTAACGTTAATGATATCTATCTCCCGAATGTAATTTGCTATTATTAGGAAATATTTTTTATCATAAAACCGATACCACATGTAAATATTCACAGACACGTTAATAAGTTTATTTGTTACTGAGTACTGAATACAGGTTAAGGTCCCTGAGATTATCGTGCAATTATTGTTGTAAGCTGTCCCTTGATGCTTGCTGTAAATCAGACTTATGTAATGGTTTGCTGATGACACTGATACGTGAGAAAGGGGATTATTCTCATCGGCAATATACCATAAATCTCTATACTAATACATGTTTAAGGTTAACGTGGATTGGGTTGGATGTGCTCTACTACAATATTGTAAATGCGACTATGTAGATAAATGGGGAATGTTACCTATAAGCATGCGCAATGTTACCGACAAGAGGTTGGACAATGAAATATGGAATTGGTCATTACTCATGTATTATCAAGTGTAGGACCACAAATCGGCTTGAATACAGTACTTTTTTTTTATTGGAACGACCAATACGTGCTAGAAAAAGGGGAAGGGTTTGCTGTTATGCCGAGGATTCTCCTACCCAATTTGCCAATAAAATGTTTATAACATTACGCTGTTACATTACCATCGTAATGGCTATACAAGGCTTTTGTATCTTACAGATTTAGCCTACGATTAATAACCCATACTTTGGAAATAAGATATATATATAGTGAACGCACTATTTAGAAACCAAATCTGCTTTATCGATGGACTTGTAAAGATTTCATTGCAGGATCACTTTTGCTGCCTTAACCAACGGGCTGTTGAGATCTATTGTCAGTAGTCTGACTTACTTGTTCGTCGGCAGCACTACGATCCAATATGTCCTAATCAATGATCGAAAATGTATGTCAAGACATATATCATTACATCGCAAAATACACACACAGAATAATTTACCTTTTTTTTCTCTCCCTTTACCTTCTTTGTCTCTTCCTTTGCTTGCTTCAATTCCTCATGTGGATCAACATTCTTTCCATTGTATGCAGTGTCAGTACTAGCCACTTCATTTGTGGTCGATGTGTTTGTCTGTTCGGTACTGTTGTATGGTTTAGTCTTTTCGTATTCAGACATGTCTTTTTCTTGGGTAGTTGATGAAAGTCTACGAACCGGAGATAAAAATCTTGGTGCAAGCTTGTTGGAAAGACCAATACGAGAGAGCATCTTGTAAGTATAACGAGGGAAAAAAAGTGTGTGATGACATGTTTAATATGCTGTTTGATTCAGTTGGTGATGTAATCGTGTGTAATTTGTAACGCTGTACTAAACTTATTTGGACAAGATCCTGATCGACACGAATTATTCGTATTGGGTATGGTAATCCAACCTCAGAAAATAAAGCTTGCGTACAAACCTTAATATTAACTACGTGAAGTCACATGGAAACTGATTTGTCACCACTTAACCTTTAATAAATGGGTACATTCTCTGTGCTCATACCGACCAATAAGATCAATTGAATTGTTGAGGTGACGAATCAAATAGCTCAAAAGTCCGTTACAATGATGATGAAAACGAGAAATATAGTGCAGAGAAAACATTTTTACCAAAGCAAACCATTAATAACGATAAATTTATGCTTCATATATGAAGATGATAGATATAATATTACTACCGAATGCGATAAAATAATGTATTTTCTTGAACTTGGCTTGCAATTGTATAATATATCACAATTGTAGGTTGCCTCACAATTATTTTGCGAGCGTTCAAGCTCTTACTAGACTAAAACAAGATTATTTTTTTTTCAATAGCTCATTATAGGCAATGAACGGCGGCAAAATAGTAAGCACAGCCGACATTCTAAATAAAAAAAATTGTATTTATAAAAAACTCGTCTACTTCTAAAATGCAACATGTTTATTTGTCAAAACATGCTAGAAATTGGACATCGGAAATTATATAATTAACGTTCGTGGTAACATAAACAAATGGCGTAATTGAGAGAAAAGTGCAATTGATACAATAATCCTACACCTTTGAAACGTTTTCTCGACAATTGTCCTAATATGAATTCAAGAACGAATTTATGTGACGTTTCAACATGTTTTACAGCAAGAATAGAAAAGGTCATAAGATTAGTATGTACGACAGCCAGGATTACTAAAACTGCAATAACGGCTCTTCGTAGTAGTTAAGTCATAATGGCTAAAGGCTGAATTCCAATTTACCACATTATTCCAATGTTTACTTTGTCGTAATACATTACATATCAGATTGAAAGCAACTTTTTGCAAAAGGTTTATATGATAGTTTCATCTAGGTGTTATAAACAAATTTTTTTTACAGTGATGACTAACTCGATAATTTAATGTTTTCAAAAAGAACATGATTCTAATAAAAATAAGTAAATTTCGTAGAGCTTGGCGAACTTTTTATGTTTTACGACTATTTTAATTTCCACACCCTTTTTTGTTTTCAGCCCAATCAACTTGGCACTTGAACTTGATTTTTTGATCTACTATGCGATATTAGGTTATGAAATCATTTCTACGATCTAAATTTTATCAAGGATTATAATCTAAGAAACATTCCACTTATTGTTAAGCATGTTATCGGGGTTATATAATAAAAAGTTGTTCGTTATCCGAGGTTGCCAATTAGGCTTTATACGATTACTTGCATACTGTAAAAAAAAACTTCAAACCGGTTACGCTTCATAATACGTTGATTAAAATTGAGGCTCAGAATCGAAATACAACCGTCTTTGGTATAACAAATACTCGCACGTGTGAATAAGTAATTTATACGTAAATATAAAATATAATAATAGTATGTGGTCTTTTTTTTTCAATAGTAGTAAACGTATTAAAAAGTAATATACATAGCTACGTTTAGCACAACTATAGTTATACATAATATATGACTATAGCGGACGACATCTTTGGCAAATGAATACAAAATTGATTTGTGATATTTATTATAATTTATAATTATTTTGTGGTGTCGTTATTATATAAAGACACCATAATTCAATATAACACTATAGTTTAATACTTTAACAGTTATCAAGAAGTACTTGCAAGTGACCACTGTTTTTAATATTCATAAATTCCTTTGATCCACCAACGTATCTTTGATTAATGAATATGTTCGGGACAGTGTGTTGACCCGTTTTGAGAAAAAGGTAATTCTGGATTTCTTCTCCGTTCTCTGCAAACATATTAGCAATAATGTCTAAATTAACACCTTTTTTTTTTACCATTAGTAATTGTTAGTATGAACAAATTACCATCAAAATCCAGATCGATTGTCCAGTATTTAAGCTGAAGATCGTCCAACGTCTGTCTTACTTTTCTTGTATATTTGCAATGGCCTTTGCCAAAGACAACGATGCAATTATCGGCAATTGCCTGCTATTTTTTCAAGAAGCGACATATTTGAAAAAAGGTTCAAAACAGAGAACGTGTGTATTCATCACATCATACAATACATACATTTACGATATTCTTGGCTTGAGACATTTTGCTGTATATTATTAACAAAATTGTATGTTTGTCTGTTTCTTTCCGGTTTGGTTTATTGCTTCGTTGGTTGTTTTTTCTTCAAATTAACTTGCGGTTGTATTTATCGTTTTCTTCTTATCGCGTATTTGAGACTGTCAATATATAACTTTTAATTACTAATCAGTGCGTCACTTGTAATACAAACTTTATATGGTATGACAAACATCGATCGGAGTTGTGTCGGTGAGAATAATCCGAAAATTGGAGCGTGGTAGTCAATAAAAATATGATATTTGGAATACAAAACAAGATATCAGCATTGATTGGCGCTAATTGATTGAAACCAACATCGCTTATTAGGATGTATTTGTGGTATTAACTCTTGGGATCAAAAGAGTTTGATGTTCTTGAACATTCCACAAGTGTTACGCAAAATGGGACAACGGATTTCCAAATGTGGATGTCTGCATTCCATTCACCATCTTATCTCATGTGGACTGATGCGAGTTATACGTCGTGTAACATTATATAGTTTAGTAATCATATAGAATTTTCGCACACACTATACCCGCTCATTTTTGAGGGATTCAAAAGCTTGGCCCTCCCTAATATCAGCACTTGAATGTCTCAGATTGAACCGAAGGGTATTACGTAAATCAGCAAGCGTTCTATTTGTGTTCCGTATTCGGTCAGAATCCAAAGCGCATGCATGGCTCATCTTTTTTACTTATATGCCCGATATGGAACAGTCATCCACAATCGGAGGTTAGAAAAACTCACCGGATAGCGTGATCCGAATTTTGTGCGTGTAACAACATTAAGGTTCATTGCTGCTGACAGATTCAGCAGGCGGGTATTCTGGTTAAAAAGCTAATGTAGAGATGAAGTACACAATGGATGGGAAGATCTTTACAACACTCGTTCGGATTATTAATCTTTTTGTACTTCATAAATAATCAGTCATGAGCCTTTTGCATCTTTCTGCATATCCAAATGAGACAATGAAAATTTTTTGATAAGAAGACATATATCTCAATGATCTCATACGACAGAACTTTGCACATGCGGTTTTCCCTACCATAGACGATGATCAAACAATAAAGTGATTTGCAAGTAGACGCCCCAAGCAACGCCCAAGGACAGATGGATAAATTACTATCAAACACAAATGCGTTCAAGAAGTGAATGGGTTGTGTACGATCTTGCTTTAATTACAGGTCAATCATGCATACCGTCTATCGATTGTGAATTGATAAAGTACTATTATTACTACAAATGATATGTTGAACTCAATAGTGCATAATGTTCTATCGTATTCTAGTGAAAACTAGTCACGTGGGGAAAAGTATGGTAATAATTTAATATTGTTAATCATGTTAGACCTTTCAACGCAACGAAATCTCAAGTATTGAACTCCTTTCATCAAATGCTGATGGTTTCAGGTTATTCCAATCTAAAGCGTTTGACATGCTTAAACTTGTTAGAACTAGATATCAAATATGATTCACATTACGCCGCTACAGGTAGTAGCCATACCATCGAAGCCTAAATTGTGGGTGTTATTAATAAAAACGCAAACCTAAAGACTTTGATGTAGTCCCGTGTGGTGCATTTGTGGTTGTAAAGAATTATCTGATGAATGGACTAGCAACAATAAGCAACCCGATGAGTTTATCAAATACAAACATACTCTGCAAATGATGCCTATTTGGAACGGATTCCATTTGATCCTATTGATTATGAGGGATATGACACACGCGTATATGGCCTACCTATTATGATTACTGATTATCGAGGACATGTAGCCACCTCACTTGAAATAACAGATGAGACGGTGATTCATATTATGACAAGGTAACTATCAAGCACCATTACTTAATTGTTTGGATAACTGAACCGGTGCAGCCGAAAAATAGGTATTGCTGGGTTATTTCACTAGTTATGTGATGAGCATGCAGATATTCTTACCACGGATTTTTGGATTACCATCGGATTTACATATGATGCAAGTATTGTCTATTAAAGAAGAAAGGAGATTGTGGGACCTTCTGTTATCATTTTAAAGAACAAAACCTCTTGATTGGACTACGGGCAACAAGTCTTTGGATGGAATCATGGAGAATGTATATGATGCCTATATCAATGTGTAGAATATTCTCTATTTATTATTTATGAGATGACACCCTTGACCATGGATGCACACATATAGCGGACGGTTAGATCAGGGAACAAATGAATTGACATTCAAGCGGATAGGTGATACTCAGTTGCTTGATTTTTATCATGTAAATTATTAAATTATTTCACGTGTAAACAATGCAAATAGTATTTAAGTATGCATTGCATTGATTGTTGTAATTATTAATTGTTTGCTCAAATAGCTAAATAAGGAATACCTGGAGATATTAACACAAGACAATGTTTATATTTGGATAATTGGAATCACTCAAGAGCCATCTACTCAAGCGTATATTTAGTTTTCTATCATGAAATACACACAGTATTAAACACATAGAGTATATGCAGTATGGCGACTTTTATGAACTCAGAGAGGTTGGATCTGATCGTTATGTAACAGTCTCTACTGCCAAATATAAAATTATCCATGAAAGCATTGCCAGAAACGTTTCAACAGTTTGATAAAATGTCGCGTTTATTTAAATTATCAACTAACGCAATATTTAATCTGGTTTTGAATTTATTATTATTTTTATTTATCAGTTCAGAAACAGCGTCAAGTGTTTACATTATTAATTCCTAGAATCACACAAGATCCAGAAACCAAGAGTACATGATTGTTATGCAATATGTTAACAACGGCAATCTTTTGATCAAAATATTAACATGGAGGACGAAATTGCACCGTTTGGGTAATATTGCAATTCATGGCGGGAACATAGTTTTACATGACGACAACGTGCGTGTCTGAGACAAAATCTTAGTCGCTGAATTCACGTGAACAAAATTCAACCATTCGAGGCGTTTTGCCCTTTATTGCATCAGAAGTCTTTCATGCTTGCAACTTTACACAGAAATCAGATATATATATATATATATATATTGGTATTATTATGTATGATGACCACTGGTAAACTCCTTTAGAGATAGAGAATTCAATAGAGACTTAGTATACGATATTATCAGCGAACTACGGCCAACGATGCCTGATTCGGCACCGGAAGAATACAAGAGCGGTGTTGTGAAGCTGATCTTGATAAGCGTCTGGATGCAGAACTTTGCAATGATATTTACGACCTTATTAAAGAGGTTGACAAGGATGATTCTGACAGTAATAACAACGTAAAACCTTTATCACGTCTCGAAAAGAAAAGTAAAAATACTTTAGTATTACCTACATCAAGAAGTATGCTGGTTACGTTGATATGATCAAGCCAATTTACAATATTATGTATTAATATCGTCAATTGTCTTCTAATTTAGTGACTCAAACACTTGAATAAACCTACAATCGTCGGTTGTTTATACAGTGAACCCTCTCTAATATCTACCCCGTTAATATCCACTTCTCTCTATTAGCAACAGTGGTCACAGAACGGATTTCCCCATATATAATTCCCCCGCATATATTAATTTGGATATCATACCCCGTTGATATCCCTATCAACACATATCAGATTTTATTCCTAATTAAATTTACCTCACTGATATCAACATCAATATAAATTAATATTTTAAAATTTAAAATTCTGATCTACAATATCGTCTCTTTATAATACGATTTGCGTACTAAAGTATAAACATACT